TAACATCTTGCTTTGGTTATTTGGAAAATATACTCATTGGCTTTTTTTTTTTTTTTTTTGTGGAACTGGGGATTGAACTCAGGCCCTTGTGCTTGCCAGGGAAGCACTTATTCCACTGAGCCATCTCCCCGGCCCTATTCATTGCCTTTTACAGATACTCCAAATGTTTTCCAGTTTCATTTTATAATACCAAAAGATAACATTTGTTAATGTCATCACTACCTCAGAAAAGTCTTAGGAAGCTGTCAAACTTGTGCTGGTAGATACATGTTTTCTCTCTGCTTATCTTTTTTTTTTTTTTTTTTTTTTGTGGAACCGGGGATTGAACTCAGGCTCTTGTGCTTGTCAGGCAAGCACTTATTCTACTGAGCTATCTCCCCAGCCCCTGGATACATGTTTTCTCAAACTTACAATTTTTGGTTGAAAGCTTTAATTTTAACATTAGCCTACAAGTACTGTCAGTTTTTCTTGAAGTGGTGGGTTCATGTTGTTCATTTGCTCACTTTTTGAGAAAATGTCTGCCAACACTGAATATATGTTAGTCATTCTATAAAGTAAATATGGTTTAAATAAAAAAAATAATTCCCTTTGATTTTGTCTGCTTATCAAAGAGGAACTACATTACACTAATGTAGTGCTTCTCAGTCCAAAGCAAAAAAGTATGAGGCCTGGTCAAATAAGGAAGCAGAAATACTGGTTTCAGTGGCCCAGATGCTAGCCCAATGAACTCTGGAGTGGATTTGCTCGAGAGTTCCATTGGCTTCTTCACTGCTATGGGGACATGCATGCTACAACATGGATCCCCTATGAATAATCCCAATCTCCCCTGAGATTCTGTTTTCACCCAGAGTGAAGCTGCATTTTCTTGGAAAATTTTGAATAGTTCTAACAGTAGAACTACTAGAACTTTTGTCTTCCATCATTTTTTGCTTAAGGCTAGGTCTGTACCCCTATAGACTGTAAAGGTTAATAGTCAGAAGTGAGCAAAAACAGGTATTGCCCAGGCCTGCTAGATTTTAAGAATCAGCTTCATCAGCCTTTGTAATGAAGAAAAATGGTTGGATGTTTCATTCAGTGAATTTCACTGACCATGTTCTTTGTGTGGGAATACTGTAATAGGTGATGAAAGTACAATTTGAAAAAGCAAGTTGAAAGTGTAGGTTGCCTGACTGTTCTAACAGTAAGGAGTAGTGAGTGCCAGAATTTGGAAGATGCCAGGAGATTGCAAAGAGAACCCCGAACTGAGTTTTGTTCTACCAAAGCAACAATTCGAAGGAATAATGGTATTATTGACCAAATAAAACATTTCCAGGGCTTAGGAATCTTGCCAACCTCTGGCAGCAAAAGCAAAAATGAAAATGTCTGAAAGAAAAGCTCCTAACTTCACAGTGCATTGTACCCAGAGGCAGGCACCAGCTTCTCAAGGGAAGACATCGGCTTTGGCGGTGATCCCTTAAAACTGGCAGAACTTTGTTGAACTCCCAGAGAATTATGGATAAACTAGTCTCCACTGTAGACTTATTAAGAATAAAACAGCAAAGGGTCTAGATAATGTAGTGAGCACCCACTGCCTGGATCCCTTCAACTAAGTGCTTTATATCTGATGTCACTTAATCCTGGGGATCTATATGTCAGTCAGGTGGTAGCTTTTGCTTTTGGTTGGAGTTTAATTAGCTTCTCAGAGTCTTCCCTTTACCTGGAAATATAGTCTATAAAGTGGTTTCCATTGATGGCTAATTCATTTCTTTTGTTTATCATTTGGCTCAAGCATCAGATTATTTACATTAACTGGGGTCATTTCATGTAATCCCTGAAGAATTCAGTCTTCCACTTTTCCACACTTGAAATTGAAACCATTTCTCTCCTTGATAGAAAGATATGGGCCTTTCTCTATAAGAAGTACAGTAATAATTCTAAACACTGTCTCACCAAATTGCCAACTGTATTGCTATAGAGATACTTTGCAAACCTAACAAACACATGAAATAGGAAAGTGCAGAGTTTTGCAAATTTAAGGATTGACTTCATGAGTAATAGAGACTAAGATGTCTATCAAATTATTTTATATGCATTACATGTAAGAAATTCTTAGGTTCTTGTAAAATACAGTGACCATGACCATTCCCATTCCTTCTATCAAGTTGATAATTAGTTTCATATGTTAAGCAAAGTACTTTGTGTCTGACACTGGAGTAGGTACTTAATCACATTTAATTCTCACAGCTCACCATACAAATTAGGACTTGATCCCATTTTGTAGATGAGCAAACAGAAGGTAAGTAGAATCTGTCCAACAGGGGGCCTGCCCCTTAGCTCAGTTCTTCAAGTGGCTGCTTCCGCAAAGCAGTCAGGCTCAGGTTGCTGGGGTTCGATCCCCAGGACTCCAGCCTGCTCTGAAGGCATTCAGAGCCAGCCCCCACAAAAAAAAAAAAATCCTAGAATCTGTCCAGCATTGTACAGCTGGTGATAGTGGCCCAGGATTAATACCAAAGCCACTGTTGTTTTCCCTATACCCCAAAAATTTCCACAAGTACTTGGGCAGTAAGTATAATTACATTGGTTGCACACTTAAAATAATTATCAGTTGGGAGTGCTAGCACACACCTGTAATCCCAGAGTGGGATCACAGCTCTGACCCTAGTCTAGGCCATTTAGTAACTCTGCAAGTCCAGTCCCAAAATTAAAAATAAAAAAAGAATTGGAGAATGTAGCTCAATGAGAAGGGCCTGAATTCAATCCCCAGTATGGAAGGAAAAATATAAAAAAGATAAGTTTGCATTTATGAGAAAACACTTTATGTATATTGCCTTTTACATTTGAAATTTTGTCTATATCTACAAAATAATGTACAGATATTGCACCCATATAGGCCACATGAGGAATTTCAAATGTGCAAGGCCTTTGAGTCCCAGCATTACTAGAAAAAAGAATTTCAAAAATAATTTTACTCGTATGAAATTTCCATCTTATATAATAATGATTTTGACTTTAGAACCTAATACCCAGGTGAAATGAAATTATTTAGAATTCCTATAAAATTCTCATCCCAGCTGGACTTGGTATCACAAGCCTATAATCCCAGCACCCAGGAGACAGAGGCCAGAGAGTCACTATGAGTTCAAAGCCAGCCTGAAGTACATAGCAAGACCCTGTCTCAAAAAACCAAACAATCCTGTCCTGGTTTTTGCCTTGATGTTGCCTCCATCACTACAGGAAAAGAGACTAGCACTGTGTCCTCCCCTTTACTTAGAGTTACTGTGGCACCTGCATCTGCAGAAGGTTAATACAGTTCTCAAGACCTCATTTGCCTTGGTTTCTCCATCACCTTTCCACTCTCATGAATACCATCAATGGATTCCTTTTGCAGTTAACATTAAGTACCTTCCTTGCTCCCTAAGATATTCCCTTGGCAGAATCTGTTTAGGCAGGGTCTTTTGTGAAGTCCACTTGTAAAACTTCTATTGAGTACCCAATTCTAAATTCTCTATACTTTTAAAAATATTTCTTTGTACTACTATTTGGTTCCTCTCTTTTTCAAGAAAGTGGGGGCCCAAATCATTGTGATAGTAATACTGTAGATTTAAGCATGCCCTGATGCCTAGTCATTGTAAGAAGGCAATTTCACTTGAGAAAGATGGTAGTATCTGTTTCATTAATAGGATGAGGGTAAGTTTAGAGGTAGATCAGTTACAAATTGTTGCCAGACAAACCACTTCAGGACCCAATTATTATTTCTTCTGAGTCTGTTTCCTGACTGAATGCTACTGGGTTGATCTCAACAGGGTTTGATCAGTTAGCTGGGAAGACTCCCATTTTCTCTCACACATCTCACATCTTTGGCAGCAACTTTCTCATTTCTAGCAGCTAGCCTGATTACACCCTCAAGGCACAAAAGCGAGCAAGCCCAGCCATGCAAAGAACAATAAGTGCATAGACACTGTTAAATTTCAAGCCAGCAGCATGTTTGCTAAAATCCCATTGGCCAGAGAAAGTGACATGGCCACACTCAGTGTCAAAGTGGGAGGAGACGACAGAGTTGCAGGATATAAGAATGTACCATTAAATATGGCAGTTAAATGCAATTAATATTCTAGTCAGGAGCCTTTTGGGTGAAATAAAACCTTTAGACTCACATTACTAGATCAAGTCCTTTTAGAAGAGAAAAACAGGACCAAGTGATGACTTGTATAAGGCATACACTGTTGGCATGCATAGGGCTTGGCACTTTACCTGCTTTTATAGTGATCCTCAAAACAACTCTGCAAGGTAGGTAGGAATGAGCTCAGAGAAATTAAATACCTTGCTCAAGGTCATTCCACTAATATGTAGTCAGGCAGGGATTAGAACTATGTCTATCTGCCCCTCAAAGTCCAGGCTCTTTTCACCATCCTTTGCTTCCAAAGAGCATCAGAGTTTTCCTTATCTCCCCCACCGAGAGAATTTTCACTTGAGTGGATACTTTCTGACCAGTTCAACAACTAATTGAGCGTCTCTAAAACATTGCTGAAATCATAATGGAATTATGGAGCTCTCCAGACAAATGTACGTGTCCTCCCACACTCTCCATGGCCTGAAAGCATGTTTCCCTTCCTCATGAGGATTGACTTGTAAGTTGCACAAGCAACTGAAGAATTATGGCCCCTCCTAGACATGTGAAAGAGAGAAGAGCCAGCCTCTTCTTAACCTATGAAATTCGGAGCATTAGGACATCTGAGCATGAGCTTTGGAGTCATACTTGCTGTGGTTCAACCACTCATTAGCTCTGTAACCTTGGGCAACTCATTTAACTTCCTGAGATCTATTTTTTCATCTAAAAGACAAAAATTATAATGATAACACCTCATTTGCAGAGTTGTTACAAGGACTAAAACTAAATTATGTTTATAAAGTGCCTAACCCAGTGCCTGACACGTAATAAGTGGCATTACTAATACTATTAGCATCATTTCTAAGGAGAACCCTTCCCCTCCTGGGAAACCCTGTGTCTGTCTGTTGGACAGGTCCCCCTCACCTCCAGCCAGTCTGTACAGACTTGCTGCCTGCTATGTCACCGGGAACGCAAAGGCTGGGAAGAAGGCCCTTCACAAAATGGACTGGTGTTGCAGGGTGAAAAGCTACCCCCTGACTTCATGCCAAAGCTCGTCAAGAATCTCCTAGGCGAGGTGCCTCTGTGGGTCTGCCAGAGTTGCCGAAAGAGCATGGAGGAAGATGAAAGGCAGACAGGTCGAGAACATGCAGTGGCGGTACGTAACCACTGACAAGGGGGTCCCTGAATTCAGGGTAGCCACATCCCCAGAAAAGGGAGGCTGTTCCTTCCTTGTCTTTTCAGGTCCTTGGGACCTTCTCATGCTCAGATGTTAAGAGGATTCTGGGCTACATTGACACCTGTGGGGACTCAAGTTCAGATTTGGGGGAAAGAGAAATAGTCTTCAGGCAACCCTCTGTCCTCTCAGCATAGTGCATACAGAAGATGAAGGCCTGCTCATAGGTTATAGTAGATCATGATCCTGTTTCCCAATGTGACCCTGATACTTTCAACTCCTTGGCACAGAAGGCAGAGGTCAGTGTGAAAATCTGAAGTGTGCATCTGTCTGTCAGAAGATAGGTGGGAGCCATGTAAGTCTGCCATTCCATGAGTCACAATGGCCAGACTTTCCTCATTTCTCTTTCTTCTCCAGGCTTTCTTTTACCCAGAATCAATACAACTTCAGGATTCCCAACTTAAAGACTTCTTGTTGGCTTTTCAGCCAATGCCCACATTTATAGGTAGTCTCTGCCCCTACAGAGGCTCTCAGAATCCACTCACTCCATGTGACTGGGAATATCACAGCTCCCTTCCAGCAAAAATCCTTGCTGGAGTTGTACTGGTTGTGCTTTGACCATGGCAGAGGGGCCCTGGGGAGAGGGGTGCCTTTGGAGTATGCTGAGGCAGCAGAGGGTCAACTCTGCTGTTTGACCATGAGCCTTTTTCTTCTCCTTTTCCAGATCTCCTTGTCACATACATCCTGTAAGTCACAGTCTTGTGGGGGTGACTCTCATTCCTCCTCGTCTTCCTCTTCATCATCCTCATCATCCTCCTCCTCCTCCTCCTGCCATGGGAACTCAGGGGACTGGGATCCCAGCTCATTCCTGTCGGCACATAAGCTCTCGGGCCTCTGGAACTCCCCACACACCAGTGGGGTCTTGCCTGGCAGCTCACTTGAGAGCCCTCCTGCCATCCCCGGTGAGTCTTTGACTTTGGGAAGGGAGCCAGGACCCTTGGAATACACAGCTGTGTTTTCCTCTCTGCTTTGTTTCAGTGAATCAGAAGATTCACTGTTAAAAATAAGTAAAAGCAGAGCTGTACCAGTGGCATCAGGGCAACCTAGACCTTGACTATCTCTGAAATATCTTCCCCAGGACTCTGAAACTGAACAGCTACTGATAGAGCAAAATTTTCTCTCAGAGCTGTTATTGGCTCTCATAATGCACATTGGATCCAGGAAGGGAGCTGGTGAGCACTGTCTGAGAAGCAAGTGGAGTGAGAGGACTATTAGGGAAATAGGTCTTAAGTCACAACACCTGCCCCATAGCACTGTGGACAGCCAGGTCATTTCAGCTTTCTTTTCTTTTTTTGTTTGTTTGGTTTTTTTGTGGAACCAGGGATTGAACTCAGGCCCTTGCACTTGCTAGGGAAGCACTTATTCCACTGAGCCATCTCCCTGGCCCCCATTTCAGCTTTCTCAGCCTTCTTGACATTTTTCCCACCTGAGAGAAGGTACAAAAACACTGCACTTACATCAAGAGATTGTCAGTGTAAACTGCTGTAATTTTTAGCCAGTTAACAGCTGTATAAGCCTTCTTTAGAGTCTGGGACAATGTGCAAAGACCCAGAAGAAAAACATTTTGGCTTATTGATTTATTATGGAAATAGGATTTACAGTCATACTTCTAAATGGAGGGGCAGGCTTCTTCAGAATGGTGCCTTCTCCAGAATTATGTGATTTAAGCAGTAGACAATTCAGTTGTCTTGACCCATGAGCCAAAAAGAGTCCTCACGGTCTTTTTCCCACTTTCTGAAACATGAGTTCTCCCAGGAGTCAGGCAAGGAATGCCTGTGAATGCTAATCCTAGAGAGACCCAGAGACAGAACACACACTCTGCTCATACGTAGCCAGCACTCTTGGTGCCTTCTCCTTTAGGTCTGGGTTCCTTGAACTTATCCAGCAGAACTGCAGCCCACATGTTCTTCAGCTCTGGGGTCCCCTGTACCAAGAGGCTGTGCCCTCTGGGCACAGTAAGCAGGACAGTGGCTGTGAGCCTCTAGAATTTCTTTCCTGGGTCTGACCCTGTTTTCCCCCCTCTACCCACAGGTGAGGCTTTCCCCATCTCGGAGCACCACCAGCACTCAGACCTCACTGCTCCTCCTAACAGCCCCACTGGCCACCACCCCCAGCCAGCATCTTTTATCCCTTCTCACCCCAGCTCCTTCAGCTCACCTCCCCACCCACACCTCATGCCTACCACCCCAGCAGCATCTTTCCCCGCCCAGGCTTCGGAGTGCCCTGTGGCTGCCGCCGCCACTGCTCCCCACCCACCAGGGACATGTCAGAGCCCCCACCTGCCCTCCACCAGCATGCCACTCCTGAAGATGCCTCCACCATTCTCAGGATGCACCCACCCCTGCAGCGGGCACTGCAGTGGGCCTCTCCTCCCACCACCAAACTCTCAGCCAGTCCCTAGCACTCACAGGTAAGTGGGCCATGTACAGGGCATACTCCCTGCTCATTGGAAGCTAGTTTTGGAAAACATTGTGAAGGATACTTTGGGGTAGAAATTAAAGGATAGATTGGGCTGAGGATATGGTTCAGTGGTAGATTTTGTACTTAGTGTATACAGGGCTTGAGGCTCAATCACCAGCACCAAAAATAAATGAATAAAGGGTAGATTATTAGTTTTATTATTTTCCTAATTTAAGTAAAAATGTATTTTTTGAAGAGTGTTTATCAACCATGCTCAAAGCCCTGGATTTAGTCCCCAGTAATGTCAAAAACAAAAACCTAACATTCCTTATAATTATAGTCAAAAAATCTGTAATAAAATTTAACAAACCAATGCTAGCAACATGTCAGAATGGTAATATAACAGAGATTTATCTTAGGAATTCAAGGTTGGTTTAACATCTGAAAAATCAGTCAATGTAATTCACTACATTAAGAGCCTAAAAAGAGCCAAGTGTGGTACACACCTGTAATTCTAGCACTCTGGAGGCTGAGGCAGGATCACTGTGAGTTGAGTGTGAGCCTGGGCTACATGCTTGATTTCAGGGGCAGCCTGCACATAGTGGGGCCCTGCCTCAAAAAAAAAGAAAGGAGGGGTTGGGTGTGTAAGTACAAGAAAGCATTTGACAGAATTCAATGAAATTCTTAGCAAATTGGCAACACAAGGAAATTTGCTCTACTTAATATGTTATCTATCTATGAATAAGCTATAGCTAACATAATAATAATGATTTTTTTTTTGGCTCTGAATGCCCTCAGGGCATGTTTGGCTGGCTTTAGTTGTGGGGATCAAACCACAGCAACCGGAGCCTGACAGCTTTGTTGAAGCAGCCACTTAAAGAACTGAGCTAAGGGGCAGGCCCCCATAATAATAATGAAATACTGAGTGTTTTTTTAAAAATTCTAACTTAGAACAATTCAGGAGTATATAAAGAAAAATTAGCTGTGTAGTGGCATATGTCTATGAGCCTAACTGCTTAGGCTAAGGCTGGAGGATTATATGTTTGTGGCTAGCCTGTGCAACTCAGCAAGGCACAAATGTGTGTGTGTGGGTGGGTGGGTGGGTGGAGTTCTTTTTAAACATCCTATCATGTTTGTTTCCCCAGTTAAAATTCTTTTAAAAACTTTTCAATGGCCACATCTTACTGGATAGCACTAGCATAATTTATTCTCCTATTTATGAGCTGGTAAACATTTGTAGTTTTTTAACTAAGAGAGGTAAAGCTGTAATTAACATCCTAAAATGGTGTTTAAATGAGGAATTGTATCCTTCAGGCAATTCCTAGAAGTAAAACTGTACTGAGGTTTATATTAGTATATTTGAAAGGGTATTCCTTGGAGCAGGTAGATATATATTTTTATAAGTCAGATATGTATTTATTATGCATCTATATTTTCCCACTCTGAAATCCCACCTTGGCATTTTTTTCCCTCATGTGCCTTTTACATGGTGTTACTGATGTCTGTACTGAGTAACATGTTCCTTTTTTGGAGACAGGGTCTTGCTGGGTCAGGCTGCTCCTGAACTAACTATACATAGCCCAGGCAGACTCAAACTTGCAGCAGTCCTCCTGCCTCAGTCTCCCCAGTGCTGTGATCATAGGCATGTGCCACACACTCAGCTCATCTTACAGTTTTTAGATTTACGTCATCTATGTTTACGTCCCCATGTGGTAGTCATACTCCTCAGCATTCAGAACTGGAGAAGAGAAACTGTGGTTCACTTCATTGTTCTCCATTTACTAAACACTTAGGGTATTCCACCACTTTAACATATAATGTCCCTAAAGGTGGCTCAGTCTAAAATATTTTCCGTCTTTTGGATTTTTCTCCTTGGAATAGCATCCTCAGAATGAAAAAGTTCTCATTTAAAGGGTGTTTGGGTTTTTCATTATTCTTCTGTCCAGAGGATTCTTAACATGTTGAAGCACTGCTTTCCAGAGGGCACTCCAAATACAGTACCTATTTACAAGAGTAATCAGAGAGCTGGTATCTCCATAGTCTCAGGAACACTGGATATTTGTTCTTCTAACACTCCAGAGTGCTAGTGTAATAGATGAGGAATGGTTGATTTAGAATAAACTTCTGTGAGCAACACTAAGAAGTTCTGTTGGGCCAGGGAGATGGCTCATGGGCCTGAGTTCGATCCCTAGTTCTTCACACACACAAAAAAAGTTCTGCTGCTGTTGTTTTCTAATCCTGCCACAAGCTTACCATCCTTCCCAGCATAGGGGTGAGGTTAACTGGGGAAATAAACATGATAGGATGTTTAAAAACAACTACTGCCTTTGGAGCTAAGCCTCAGCCAGCATGGGGACCAGCTCTTGCAGCACTTCAGCTGATGAACGCCCAGCCTAGGGCTCTGGCTCTTCACTGCTCCTATTTCTAGGACCTTTCAGCCTGGGATTCTTACCCTGGAAAAATATTCTATATAAAATGCTCCTAGGGGACAGGCCAGATACTCAGAGGACTAAAGTGCCTGCTTAAGCAGAGCGCAGCAGCAGGGGTTCGATCCTCAGCATGCCATGCTGGCTCCGCCCTTGGGGCACAATGAGACTGCGATTGAGATTGGGCATAGTGGCGTGCGCCTGTAATCCCAGCACACTTGGGAGGCTGAAAACAGGAGAATCACTATGAGTCCAGTCTACATATTGAGACCCTGTAGACCCCATACTAAATACAAAAAAAAAATGCTCCTAGGGTTTCCCAAAATTCAAGGCAACACAGGGACTTGAGTTGTCACCTGTTGAACAGAGCAGTCAAGCACCCTGAGCTTTGGTCTCTTGACGCTGCAAAATGGAGACAGTAGAACTTGTAGGACTTAGGGGTTGGTTAGAAATAATAGGTTTAGTAAAGCATTAGGCATAAGCAGTAGTCTTCCAGTCT